GGTACGGGCGCGACACTGAGGGTTGCGATCCGTTGCCGGACACGAAAAAAGACAAAAAAAAAAAAAAAATCTCATTTTATGGTGACTGTGTTATGTTATGGTGATAGGTCACGAATGAATTGTTAAATCTTTTTCCCATTTTAAGAAAAGAGACAGAAAATTACCTTTTCGCTTTGGTTGGAAGGAAGACATCGATTCGAGGGAAGGAAGTGGACGGTAATTGGTCTGAATCATGGGTAATGGGAGGTCTGGCAACACTGGCAATGCCTCAGTGGGGACCTGTAGAGAACAGACCCGTGCATGGAGAGCCCCCTCTATACACGCAGCTTACTTTCCTACAGTCAATTCCTAGGAGTGGTAACTGGGCACACCTCACAGGCAGATCCAGGCTGGAGGGGGCAGCAGTCATGTCCAATACCACCTCCGCCAAGAAATAAGTACAGATCGGCCCATTACAATGGAACACCTCAGAAAATCCATATCTTGGGTACTATCTACCCTGGCAGCTAGTGAGGCCCAGAGGAAATTACTGCAAACTGAAATTCAACAAGCCACATAAAAGCAAGCCAAGGAAGACAGTGGCAGGGTAGATCCTGTGAGCTCCCAGGGTAGATCCTGTGAGCTCCCAGAGGCTCTGAATGGGAAGCCACTGAGGGGCTGAGGGGGTTACCTTTCTTAGCTTGGCTGAATCGGCTCCAGCCGGCTGCAGCTTCTCTGACTTGTTTTCATTCACCTTAGGTAACTTCTGAACTGAGTCCAAGTTTTTACTAGTGCTTTTAGAATCACTTTTTTTAAGTCCTTTTCCTCCAAATGCTGTGGCTGAAGTTTTCACAGTCTTTTTCTTTTTCTTCCGGGGCTGGTCATAGCTGAGGTAAGACTCGAACGACATGGTGGGCTGCTCAAATTCATCATCCAAATCTGCCTCGTCAACTTTAGGGAGGCGGCCCAGAGACTTTCCCTCTGAATTAGAGGTCTTTGCTTTCCCTTCTTGAGCCTTCAGGTTGTTAGAAACCTTCTCTCTTACCTTGGGCAACAGGTCTCCTGCCCCTTTTCCTATGTCTAAGCTGTCCAGACCTTGCTTGTTCTTGTCTGATTTGGTTTTCTCCATGTCTCTGTGCTTTGGCTTTTTAAGGTGGTTGTCTGAAGCAGCCTCTGAGGAGGGTACACACTTCTTCTTGAGGCTGCTGCCCTCTCTTTCCTTCTCTTTCTTTACAACACTAGAGGGCGGTTTCTCCTTTGCACTGTCCCCTGGGAGTGGCCTTCGGTTCTCTTCTTTAGAAAGGGCCTTGTGGGATTTCTCTCTGCTCAGAGCAGAGGACTTCTCGTCACTCTTGGCGTCCATGGAGCGTTTTTCCTTGTGGGAAGACTTGTGCTCCTTGTTTTGATTCACAACCCCTTTGCTCTGGGGTTCAGCCAGGTGTTGTTCATGACTGACCCCCAGTCTGTCCTGAAAGGCATTCCTGTGGCCTTTTCCAGGCTTCTGGTGTGGGACACTGGGCTCACGGTCCTCCTCCAGGGATCTGTAATGGTCCACGTACACCTGATGAGGACTGGCAGAAGACAGAGGGGACTGAACGTGGCCATAATCAGAAGATTCATGGTCTGAAGAGGAAGCTGGTGACACTCTGTGACACCTCTTTCTCTCCTCTCTCCTCTCATGACTGTGAGACACCTTGTGAGGTCTCTCTAGCTCTGAGAGTTTTCTGTGTTTTTTCTGTCTGTGGTCAGGGCTGTAGGAATGGCTACCAGAGGCTTTCCAGTTTTCTTGGTAGTCGCCCCCCATCTCCTCCTCCTTCTGAAGGGCATCCTGAGGGCGCTTCCGGGAATTGCTCTTCTCAAAATCCTGTTCATCGGACTCAATGTTTCTAAAATAAAACAAAAAGCAGAAATAAATCTCAGTATAATCCTTGTTCAGAGGACAATCGCAGAATCTGAACTCAGAAAAGAGATGTAGATGCAGAGTTAGAAACAAGATCTTGGGAAGAAGAAAAGTGGGTTATGTTTAAAGATACCCAATTAAGTTTTAAAATTGGGAAACATTCAGTGAGCAAGTGGAAAAACACAACTGTGTTCTCTTCTGCTCTCACAGCACAACGCATCAACAACACAGGAGACAGACTTCTGTGACCAAATGTGTGCTGTGTGAAGACTTCTCCCCACTAGCAAGTAAGCAAGCAGTTCTCTAGCAGACACCCACTGGGCATCCTCTAATTCAATTCAAGTCTGATGCTATCTACGTGGAGATGGTGTCAGATCCCACAGGTTGGGGTTCAGTCCCCAAGACTGCCCCCACTTCAGATGCCAGTTGCAAGTCCAGGCTTCTGGAATTTCTGACCAACCAGCTATAAATCAGGTTTCCCACAACCCCCTCCTCGGGTTCAATTAGTTTGCTTGCGGGGCTGACAGAATTCAGGGAAGCACGAGCTTATGTTTACCGGTTTATTATAAAGGATATTACAAAGGATACAGAAGAAGAGATGCACAGGCTGAGGTATAGGGAAGGGGCACAGAGCTTCCATGACCCCCCTGGGTGCACTGCCCTCCAGGAACTGCCATGCGTTCAGCTATCTGGAAGCTCCCCAAATGCAGCCATTCTGGGTTTTTATGGAGGCTTCATTACATAGGGATGACTGGTCATTGGCCATTAGTGATTAACTTAACCTTCAGCCCCTCTCCCCTCCCAGGAGGTGGGACCAAAAAGTCTTGGTCTTTCCCGTGGCCAGCTCCCATCCTGAAGCTACCGAGGGGCTGCCAGCCATCAGCCAATCATTAGCATACAAAAAGACAGCACTGGAGATTCTCGGGATTTTGGATTTGTACACCAGGAGAAGGAGTCTGAAGATCAAATGTACATTTTCACAATATCACATTCAATAAATGAGAAATGGCAAGTTTAACTACAGGATACAAAGATCAAATATCTTGTGAACATGAAAATGCTTAAAGGGCTGGCCAGTTCGCTCAGTTGGTTAGAGCGCAGTGTTACAATACGAAGGTCAAGGGTTCAGATCCCTGTCCGGCCAGCCACAAAACAAAACAAAAAAAACGCTTAAAGATTTTTTTTTTTCTTCAATACAGGGACATGTTTAACTTGTTACATGAAAAGGGGCTACTAATTATTTATATAGTTCACAACTATATAAACAAATGCCTTTTACTAAGAGGTTAGAAACATACCAAAATGTTAGTAATGCTTATCCTTAGATGATAGAATTATAAGAAATGTTGATTCTTATTTCTGTTTTTTAATATTTTCTAATATTCTACAAGGATCATGGATTATTTTTATAACTCAGGCAAAACAGATTTTTAAATAAGAAGGCAGAAAAGGGATAATAAGGAAAAGCTTTTCTGTCTATAAACACTTCAAGTACCAGATTTAACCATGAAGTCAAACAAACCTAAACAGAAATATTCTTACCTTTCCACAGGAACCAGCTTCTTCCACTGGGCCACTAGATCCCTGGCAAAGTTTCCAACATGCTCGTGTTTTCTCAAGCTATTTACTGTTTTCCCAACCCCAGTCTCCTACAAATTTAACAAAGGAATTGTTAGGGGGTTATGGAACTAGGCTCACATTTTTCTAAAGAAATAAAGCCTCATGCTTTGAGAAATTCAACAAGCAATACTTCCTTCCTAATACATACCTTATAAGTCTCAATATTAAATTACTTTGTGCCTATGCCCCAAATCTGTAATGACACACAGTAGCAAAGCATACCAAATTCAGAGAAGGAAAAACATTTCATTAAAACACTTGTATTGTGGGCCGGCCCGTGGCTCACTCGGGAGAGTGCGGTGCTGATAACACCAAGGCCTTGGGTTCGGATCCCATATAGGGATGGCCGGTTCGCTCACTGGCTAAGCGTGGTGCTGACAACACCAAGCTAAGGGTCAAGATCCCCTTACCGGTCATCTTTTAAAAAAAAACAAAACAAAACACTTGTATTGTAACAATATATATATGCTAGTAATACAGATTTAATCAACATATCTCAATGTTCAACCCCCAAAATATGTATAATCGATTTTGACTCAATAAATAAAATAAATTATTAAATTTATTTATTTATTTATTATTTTTTTTATTTTTAAAAGATGACCGGCAAGGGGATCCCAACCCTTGACTTGGTGTTGTCAGCACCACGCTCAGCCAGTGAGCAAACCGGCCATCCCTATGTGGGATCCGAACCCGGGGCCCTGGTGTCATCAGCACCGCACTCTCCCGAGTGAGCCACGGGCCGGCCCTAAATTATTAAATTTAAAAAAATAAATAAAGTGCAAAGAAAAAAAAACAACACTTGTAGAACTTCAATGATAGCAAGGGTGACTACGGCAGATGTTAGGCATTGAACTAAGAGCTCTGCATACAGTATTTGAATCAATCTTTACAGTAACTCTGTGAGGCCAGAATCAGCCCCATTTTACAAAGAAACAGCCAAAAGTTACAGAACTTGGATCTGAATCAAGAACTAGTTGATGCCAAAGCCAATGTTACTTTAATTCTTTTTAACTTTCAAATAAAAGTAGCACAACATAAAATTCACCATTTTAACCATTTTAAAGTGTATAATTCAGGGGTTTCCAAGAACACTCATAATATTGTGCATTTCCATCATCCTAAAAAGAAATCCTGTTCCTCCCAATTCCCCTAGCCCCTGACAACCACTAATGTACTTTGTGTCTAAGGATTTGCTTGTTCCCGACTTTTCATATAAATAGAATTGTATGCTATGTAGCCTTCTGTGACTGGTCTTTTTCACTTGCAAAGCCCATGCTCTTAATCTTACTCTATATTCTCTCCAGTGGGAAGGGGATGGGATATAGTTATATGATATTTAAATTTACACAGTTCTTACCGCAAGAATGTCTACTGTAATGGGCAAAGTGGAGAGTTTCTTCAAATATTTCAATAGCTGCAGAGAGAATAAAACAAACATTAACTTCTATAGAGTCATAATCACATTCATTGGAAAAAATAAGAATAATACCTGATAGTTAAGTGCCTACTCAGTGCTAAGCATTTTACAGTAATAAGGATGGTATTATCCCTATTTTACAAGTGTGGAAACAGGCTCAGAAAATTTATGTTACTCGCCCCAGGATGCAAGTGGGGCAGGGTTCACTCAGGTCTGTGCCTTTATACTGTAGGCTTTCAAGCACTATGCTACACCAAGGGGAAATAAGACAGAGAATCAAAACCTACCAATTCTGATAAAAGTCACCAACAACTATCATTTTGCCCCAGTTTTGACAGAGAATTTATGAGAAAGTAACCAATTTTAGGAAAATTACCCATGGACCTGACGCAGAGGAAAGTAAAAGGAAGAGGAATCTACAGGAAAAGAGTACCATGTTCCCAGAAGGGTCACAGTGTTTAACAGAATTGGTTTTTTTGTTTGTTTGTTTGTTTGTTTGATACAAGTTGGAAGCCAAGAGCAATTTCAAGTTGCCAGAATCAGAGCTTTGCTATTAATGGTGAGCACAAAGTGCCTGGGTAGATTAGAAAAGCAATCTGGGATTGGCCACATTTCCTTTCTGTAGTCCCTAAAACTAGGTCAAAACCAGTAAATCAGAGCTGTTAAGATGGGGTTCCGGAGTCAGAGATAGGCTTGACAGTTTGGCTCTGTCACCTCCTGGCCAGGTAATCTTGTGCAAGTCGGTAACCTCTCTGAACCTCAGTTACTTCATCTGCAAAATAGGAACTGGATCCTCTCTCAGTAGAGGATCCTCACAAGCTGTGAGAATTCACCAAGACTAACCATGTGCAGTCCTCAGTCACAGCGCCTAGAATACCATAAAAGCTCGATAAATGATTATTAATCACTTTATTCATCAACTGACAGCTTTTTAAATGTTCTGCCCTTGAGCCTCAACCAGATATTCCTCAGCCAGTTCCTACTTACTCTATTTCTTTTTTTTTTTTTTTAAGATGACCGGTAAGGGGATCTTAACCCTTGACTTGGTGTTGTCAGCACCACACTCACCCAGTGAGCAACCAGCAATCCCTATATGGGATCTGAACCCGTGGCCTTGGTGTTATCAGCACCACACTCTCCCAAGTGAGCCACAGGCTGGCCCCTACTTGCTCTATTTCTACCCAAAGTTATGACTGGCTATGCCTTTCTCTAGGAAGTGTTTATGTGTTTGCAAACAATCTTACCATACAAGGAGTGCCACAAAGTACAAATAGTTCAAAATAGATAACTGTGGCTACCTTTACATTTAAATTTTAGATAACAAGATCTGTTCTTTTTCCATGTGCAGCCCAGGCTAGAATCAGTATGCCATACTGCTATTAGGTGAAGTAATAAGTATGCTTTTCTGGTCATTCTACTTCAATAATTACTTAATATTACCAGGCAGAGCAATTGGATTACAAGCGATAATCTTGTTTGACTGGGAACAAGTAAGAGGCCA